ACTACCAAATATGTAACTCCTACTCACATTCTCCCCCAAAACTAACTTCTACACAGCATCTCTCAAGTTTAGCATGCCCAAAACTGAACTCATTATATACATGCCCCAACCAATTCCTCCTATTATTTTCCTATCTCAGTTAATGACTGACACGTCCTCATCTCAACTGATAGCTGCTACACTCTTCCAGTTGTTCAGGCATCAAGCTTGGAATCATTATTCATTTTATTCTATTCTTCTAAAACCCTATCTGGCCTTCAGTTACCTTTCTGACCTCAATCCTTGTCTTTCGCTTAGCTCTAATTATAACAGCCTCCTTGGGACTTCTCAAACACTATCAGCTCAGAACCTACGTAATTACAGATTTCTACCTGGAAATCTCACCCCTCTGATGCCAGCATTTCATCCCTCGTGTCCATTACTGTCTTTACTCATACTTTTTCTCCTTAGCACTTCCCATCAGTCAACAGACTCTCATTTTTATTTTTTTATCTTATGGTGTATCTTTTCCTCTAGCATGCAAGTTCCATAATGGTTGGGATTTTTTTGTTTTACTTAGTCCTAATTCCTAGAGCAGTGCTTGGTATATTGGCGTACACATAAGTACTTGGTGAATAATAGAAAAAGTAGAAAAGCAACTGTGGACCAAAGGAAATGAGCAGACAGCTCCATAGGGTCACTGGACTGTTCTAACAAGCTGTTAGTATATTCACAGGAATTGAAGGAAATCATTTCTTAATGAAATAAGAATAAAACATAAGAAGAAACAAAGAGAAAAAAATGAATATTGCTTGAAAATTAGAAATACGATTACTGTGATTTTAAAATAAATTGAAGTAAAAAAAGGCAAAACTGGGGAAATTTCATAGGACTTCTAACAAAATAAGAAGAATCAAAAAAAGATGGTAAAACAGAGGAAGATAAGTGAAGCATTGAACCAATTCCAGAGAGTGAGAAAATAAACAAATAAGGAGAGAAAATGGAAAATTATTAGTTTTCTTTCTTTCTTTTTTTTGGTTCTTTGAAGAAGGATCTATAAATTGAAAGCACCTACTCCTGGTTTGACATTATAGGATAAGCACTGGACAGCTAACCATAAGGTTGGTGGTTCAAACCCACCAGCCACTCCTTGCTCCTGGAATCCATCCATATACAGGGTCGCTATGAGTCTGAACAGACTCGACGGCACTTAACAATAAGAAATACGTGATCACATGATTTTATATGCTATGATATTATTTATTAAAATGGAAAATTAAAAGCACCCATCAAATATCAAGCAGGAAGAAAAAGACTACACTTAGCCACATTACTATAAAATTCCTGAAACAGAAAGGATAAGAAGATCATATAAGCTTTCGCTCAGAAAATTTTTAAAAATAAATAAATAAAAGAACAAAATTTTGTTAGCAAATTTCTACCTGGCACCCAAATGAAACAACGTTAAAGTTTTGATCCTTAGATCTTTTCTTTTCTTTTTTTTTTTAAGACATGAAACCTTATAAATAAGCCTGGTGAATTCCTATTCCAAATTTTACCATTCAAGTTTCTGAGGGAAAATTGTTTTTTAAACCTAGAATTCTATATGCAGCCAAATTTTTAATAAAATATGACATCAACATAAAGTCACTTTCCAATAGGCAAGAACTCAGAAATTTTACTTTCCATGCCCCTGATCTGAAGTAATTACTTGAGGATATTCAACAACACGAGGATAGGAACTCAGAAAACTGAATATGTGGAACTAACCTAGGAAAAAAGAAATCTTAAGATGAGAATTGTGCAGTAGCTCAAGAATTAATTAACCAGTAAGTTCCAAGTAAAAGGCCTCCAGAGAATAATGGAATATATGCTAGACAGTAAGTATAAAGACTAAAGAACTAGATAATACTTAGGAAATAATTTTTTCTCTCAATAAGAAAAAAATTGAAGTAATTAGAAATTCCAGAAAAAATCCATTTTAGAAAGAAACACATGGTCTAAATATAAAGCAAACTAAAACATGACTTTATTTTGAATTACTGGTAGACTGATATTAGGAACTTTTTCCTTGAAATAGTGTAAAGATTGAAACTATAGATAAGGATATGTGATTAGAAAACACTAAAAAGTTCTGTATCAAAAATAAATTTTTTGATACAGAAGAATTAGAAACAAATGTAATTAAAGTGTGGCTTTTGAATAGTGGGATTTTTTTAAGCTTGGTTATACATTCATTTTTTACTTAAAAAATGTAACATTAAGCAAAATAAGAATAAAGGCATGGATTACTAAAATTAGAG